TTCTCCTGGGCTGTGGCGATGGCCGCCTATGCCCACTCTGTGGCGTCCTGCAATCGTCTGACGAAGTCCTCAGCGAGAGTTTCACCCTCCTTCTGCTTTCCCTCAATCATACGGTCTACTACCAGGCGGATCGGTTCATTGTGGTAGCCATGCATAAAGAAGAATGGGCTCAGGCCTGTTAAGGATGCTTCTCGGTTGTTTATACTTGCCATTGCGATTAGCAAGAGGTCCAGCCAGTTATCCTGAGTATAGGTAGCCCAAATCCGTATAATCTTCTCGATCTCCTGATTCATACGTTCTATAGCGCCATCAGTCTGAGGGTGATATCCCGTTGAGAGCCGTTGTTCAATCTTGAGGAGTTTGCAAAAGTGCTTCCACAAATCGCTCACAAACTGCGGCCCTCTATCACTAGTTATTGCTGTCGGTATGCCATGAATTGGGTAGTGGCGTTCAAAGAGCCTCTTTGCAACTGCCTCAGATGAGATATCGTCCATTCCCTCTAGCTCTACCCCTTTCGTCAGGCGATCAGTGACAACCATACAATTTGTCGCTTTATCCCTCCCGGATGGTGGTAAGTCTGTAATGAAGTCGATTGAGATCTCTCCCCAGATGCGCTCAGGGATTAGCATTGGCTTGAGGAGCCCCTTCTTGGTGTCTCTCCAGATCGTATTCCTGCCACAGATCTCACAGTTCCTCACAAACTGGCGCACATCTGCTGCGGCTCCAGGCCAAAAGAACTGCCTTGATAGAATAGTATAGGTAAGGTCTCTGCCAGGATGTCCAGTAATATGAGAGTCATGAATATCTTGGATAATCTTTGTGCGAAGGGGTTCTAGGTTTAGAATCCAGACCCGATCGCGGAAACGAAGAAGACCTCGCTCATCCACAGTGCACTCAGTGATGCTAACAGTTTTCTCCTTCTGAAGGTGGGTAGGCAAGTTTCTTTCGTCCCTAGCCACACACATTGTGAGTTGTCGGTAGAGTTCATCCTTTCGGGCTTCGTGCCATAGGGTCTGTAGTTCTTGGTCTTCAAAAAGCCGTACTTCCTCTTCAAAGTTGATTTCCTCAGGTTTCGCCGGGACTCCCATTGATGCAATGTGCACGCTTTTGAGGTGTTCGGACTGGAACATCTTCATGAACCTAGCCTTCAACCGTTCGTCGCTACCATCTGCTGGGAGGTCCTGCCACCTACGAGACAGGGCATCAGGACGCCCCAAGCTCTTGCCTGGCTTCCATTCCAGAGTGAAGTTGAACCTAGCGAGATACTCGGACCAACGCACTTGCCTCTCAGTAAGCTGCTTCTCAGAATAAAAGTACCTTAAGTTCTTATGGTCTGTAAGAATCGTAAAGTGCTTAACTGCCTGCAACTCGGGCTGCCATGCTTCAAGACTGCGTATAATGGCAAGGAGTTCCTTGTCATGAATGGGGTAGTTGGCTTCAGCAGGAGAGTGCTTCTTCGACAAATAAGCAACAGGGCGCCAAATACTATGGTCGTCCTTCTGTAGCATCAGCCCTCCTGTAGCGTAGCCAGAGGAATCAGCTTCGACCATAGTCTCTCTCTCCGGGTCGAAATGCGCGAGGATTGGGGCCGTAATGAGCATTTCCTTTAGCTTGTCGAATGCCTCTTCACATCGGTCGTCCCATTTGAACTGAACATCCTTCTTCGTTAGCTCGGTCAACGGTCGAGCTATGTCTGAGAAGTCTTCGATGAAAACCCTATAGAAGTTCACGAAGCCAATGAACCCGCGAACTCCTTTGACTGAGGTTGGTGTAGCCCATTCTCTGATTGCCTTGACTTTCTCGGGGTCGACTCGGATGCCAACGTCTGCTTCGATCACAAAGCCTAAATACTTGACTATCTTGACCTCAAATTCGCACTTGTCGATGTCAATTTGGAGGCTAGCATCCATCAATCTCTGTAGAACTTGGCCGACCTTCCTCCTGTGGTCCTTGAGGGACCCTGAGGAATATACTAAGACGTCATCCACGTATGCAGAAGCAAAGTCATCTAAGTAGTCTTGCAAGGTGCTGTTAATGTAGCGTTGGAAGGCGGCCGGGGCTCCAGTCAGCCCAAATGGCATGACTCGGTACTCAAAGGAACCATATCTCGTGCGAAAGGCCGTCTTGTGTACATCTTCCTCTGCTATCCGTACCTTATTGAAGGCAGCGATAATGTCGAGTTTTGTGAACCACTTTGCCTTTGCGATATTCCTTAAGGTCTCGCTCAGAAGCGGAAGAGGGTATCGGTCCTTCTTGGTAATGCTATTCAACCCTCGGTAGTCGACGCAAAAGCGAATTCCTCCACCTGGTTTCTTGACCAATAGGACTAGGGCAGCTGCTAGGGAGCTGCTCGCGCGGATGAACTCCTTGTCTAGCAGCTCAGTAAGGATCTTCCTTAAAACCAGGAGCTCATCTCTTCTCATGCCGTACAACGGGCTCCAAGGGAGGTTCTTCTCATTCCCATCTTTGTCCTTCATAATCTCGATTCGGAGGTCGATACCGGGTCGTAGGGGCGGGAGTTTGTCGGCTAGTTGCCTGCTGAATGCCTGGAGCCACCGGTGGTAATGCTCTGGAAGCTTCTCTTTTGGGTCCGTCCTTGTCTTCGGCCTTAGAGCCTTATCGATGTCCTTCAGGGTGACGGAGAACACTCCAGTGCCCTGCCGCCTCTTGTCTCGTCGTACCTCTGCCATGAAGACTGATGCCATCACTTGTTTGACCTTCACGGCTGGGGCTGGCTGCTTGGCCCGATTCCATACCTGCACACCTGAGGACCTAATCGTAAGGCAGCCCTTCTTTGCTGAGATATGTACATCCTCATCCTCCATCCAAGGCTTCCCAAGGATAATACTATAGTTCAGCTTTGGAACCACATAGAAGAAGATCCTTTGGCGCTGGTGACCGTCGATATCAACTGACGCGTAAGTGACTGTGTCGATCACTGTATTGGGGTCGCCAGTAGCGTTCTCGAGTTTCCGAGGAGGAATGGGGATCCGTGGCAGCTTTAAGGAGCGGAAGAGTTGGTCATTTATAGCAGCATAGCAAAGACAACCGTAGTCGACCAGACCTGTAGTGAAGTCGGTTCCATTAAGTCTGATGTCGACTAGGAAAGGGTCTCCATCCATCTTTGCTCTGCCATCTCTTCTCCATTCCCTCTGAGCTGCCGCGTGCCCCTATTGCTCATCTCCAGTGGTCTCATTCTCACTCTCCTCGTCCTCGAATGCTGCTTTAATGACGCGAGGCCTTGCTGATGTAACGCTGACATGTGTCTGCGAATCCGGGCGTAGGGGTGCTGCTAATGGGCATGTGAGGATTCTGCAGTCGTCTCTCCCACAGCGGAGGCAGCGGTGCTCGCGCCGTCGCGCGTCGATCTCCTCCTGACTAACCCACTTGGCTCTCTTCCCCAGGAGGGTTTTATCCTGAGGTCGCTTCGAAGGATACCCATTGAGATTGTTGTTCCTCCTGGGCCTCAAGGCATTGACCTGCATCGAGCCCGGGGGGGTTGGGTCCCATTCCATCATATCCTCTCTCTTAGCTTCCGGTTGGGCACGACTGCCAGGGGCAGCGGGTGAAGGGGCCCTCGGTTGACTCCTGCTGCCGTTCGACTTCTTCCACTGGCCAAGCAGCTCCATAGAGTTGCTCAACTCGTCACACTTCGTTGCAAGGCCGACGTAGGAGCTGATCTCGGCTCGGTTTACCGGCACAAGCATCATCTTCAGCTTATCGTTCAAGGCATTGCGTAAGTATGAGATTTTGCTATCATCGGGCCATGCTTCCGCATTTGCATTGGCAATCTCTCTCTCAAATCGGGGGTAGAAGGCGGCAAAGGACTCGTTCTCTCCTTGCTTGAGGCTGTGTAGTGCCTGAATAGCCTTCTTTTCGCGGTCCCGGTCTCCATATAACAGGTCTAGGCGATTGAGGAGCGAGGCAGGGTTGGCCTCAGGCTTTTTGGTCTCGATCTCCACAAACGTGGTGACATCCTCCTTTGCTCTTCCCGATAACCGAGAGTACACATACTTGAATTGTGACATAGAGCTGCCCAGTGCATCGCCGTCTTCATGTAGCTTGTTCTCCATCTCCAGCTTCCATCCACGCCATGTACTCTTCTTTCCTTCGTAAAGGGCTGGATCGGGGAGTCGAGGGCGTGGTCGTCGAGTGGGCTTCTCTTCGGGAACTGGGATGCTGACTTCTTCTTGGGGTGTCGAGGTACTGAGTCCGCTCGGCGTAAGGGGGGTGGTATTGGTTCGTCTGTCGTGGACTGTAGTTTCGATGGCTTGCAGCTTCAATCTAAATTCTTCTTTGTTCTCAGCTAGAGTTCTTCTGAGCTCTGCGTTTTCTTCTCGTATGCTCTTCAGCTCCCTCATTATAGCTTCGAGGGTGTCGGTCGGGTTGGCGTAATCCATTCTGTCGGCTTCTAGCTCAAAGTCTTCAATAACAAAATAATAAGTGCTCCAGATATGCAAATAAAATGATCTTTGATGTATGTGAACGGCCTCTAGTAACTGTATTCCAGCTATCTAGTCCAGGATGCTATTTACATCAAAGATGAAGAAGAAAGAAAGAAGTTCTCAAGTGCCCCTGAGCTGTGGGACAATTTCCCATCCCTGGCGCGCACGAGCTCAGTACGTCTTGCGGCACAGCCGCAAGGATATGTTGGAGAAGTGGCATGCATGATGATGTTACACAGGCAGCCACCTCAAGGGAAGATGTCACCCCATGATACCTTAATTGTCAGAACAGCGTTACAGATCTGTTGCAGGATCAGCAGGTCTAGTATCTCGGTCTTGCCCCCTCAGATACAAAGACAACGAGGGAGAACGAAGAACAAGGAGGACGAACACAAGGAACCTCATCAATACACTCAAGATCATCCCAATATCATCTTTAATCATCAGTTACCTAGTGAGGGCGCGCTGTCTAACAATTAAGAGTCTCATCCGCTCCAAGAGCTTTCCGCGCTACGAATGATACGCGTTCCTCACATCATACAGACATTATCCGACATGACTGACAACGCCGTCTACTATAACGACGCCAAAGACTGGGAAGACTGGCAGATGGAATTCCGCAAACGAGCGGAAGGCGAAGACGTCTGGCAGTATATCGAGCCGACTAGCGACCTTCCGTGGCCGCAAGAGCCCACGCCACCGAATATCGCGGACTACCAGTCGAATACAATCCATGCCAATACCGAGTCGAACAGCTCCGGACGATCGGGTAGATCCCAGACAACTGGATCGGCTGTTCCACAAGGCCTCGGCGATCTCTCCGACGCTGGGAGGCTGAGCTTCCAGCAACATTGGAATGAATATACGGTAGCGATACGGAGATACGAGACAATCAAGAAGTCACTGAGAACCCTCCGCGAGTGGGTGCTGAAGACGGTCAACAAGTCAATCCAGAAGACCGACCTTCCGCCTAACGGCAATCTCAACAAGTGGTACGCGATCTTGGCCCAATCAGGCGAGGAATACGCGAGTCACCGGATGGAAGACGCTCGAATCGCCTTCAAGAATCATCTCCGATCAGCTCCAAAGAAGGAAGCAGGGCTCGAGAAGTGGATCGTCAGATGGAAAGAGCTCATGGCTGAAGGTCAGAGACAAGGAGTACCCGAGACGACGGAGCCCCGAGCGTGGGCCCTTGACTTCGTCAATGCAGTCGAAGAAACGGCGCCACTCTGGGCATCGAATTACCGACTGAACAAGCTAGATGCAGTGAACAATCGCGAAGTCAGCTATCGCGAAGTGGCAACGAATCTGTTGAGGGAAATCGCCAACAGACGCAACCGCAGCGCGGTTCCAAGAGGCAGCTACAAGGCCGGCTTCTTGACTCTCCACGGTAAGCAGGCTGATCAGGACGATACCGACCAAGACGACCGCGATACTCAGCCCCCAGAGCCAGCAAACCTTCGCGGTAAGGCAGGCAGTAAGGGCAGCAGCAGCGGCCGAGGCGGAAAGAAGACAGATCAGAAGCGCAAACGGAAGGAATCCGACGCTGAGACTGAAAGCGGAAGAAGATGCAAAGCTTGCCTTGCGCCCGGTCATTCAATCAGCAGCTGCTTCTATGTCTTTCCGGAGAAGGCACCGGAAGGCTTTCGGTTTAACGAGGCGGCGGCAAGATTTGTAAAGATTCAAATTGAGTCAGATACAGCGATAAAAGAGGAGGTCAACCGGCTCTCGAAGAAAGCAAAACTCGAGTCAGATGACTGACTAGACCACGGGGTCGGAGTGACCAAGAGCTGCTTCCTTGTCATTCGTGAAGGATCGAAAGCAGCGTTTAACTCGTCCCCGTACCCCTTGAAGAACTCGGCCATCTTAGATTCGGGTTCTACGATCCATATCTTCAATTCCTTCTCAAGGTTCCGAAATTACCGACACGCACCAACTGGCGATTTTGTATTCGCTGGAGAGGTGAAGGTGCCGATCCAAGGATACGGCGAAGTTGACATCTGCATTGACGGACCACAAGGCTCGTGCATCATGATACTTTCTGATGTCGCACTTTGCCAAAACTTCGCATGCAATATCGTGTCCCTCCGGCGGCTACGTCGGAAGGGATATTGGTGGGACAATAAGGGTGCTAATAACTGCATCCGCAGGAGGGATGACTCCCTGGTATGTCGGTTGATTGATCAGTTCGATCAATTCGTCATTGAGCATATTCCTCTCGATATTACGAAAGCAGTATTCGCAGCACGACGGATTCAATTCAACTCATGGACCGAACGGACGCCTAGCATGGCATCCGAGCAACGCTGGCATCTCCGACTTGGTCACCCAGGGCCAGAAGCTTTGAGGCACCTCGCTCATCACTCTCGGGGGGTGCGACTAAAAGGTCCGACCACAATCCAATGCGATGCCTGCGGCTGTTCCAAGGCGAAGAGACAGATCCGCCGGCTGCCACGAGAAGGACCAACCAAACCCGGTCAACGCCTCGCAGTTGATTTCCTGGATCTTGAACTCGATGGCGAAGGATACTGGTGTGCGATGTTGGTTACTGACCGTTACTCCGGCTATGTGTTCGACTTCTACCTAAAGAGGCGGGATACCGATACCTTGATCAGTGCTTTCGAGGATCTTATCGGACTGCTGAAGAACCAGTTTCAGATCCAGCCTCAGGCGATCGAATGCGACAACGAGATTACCGACAACCACAGGCTCACAGCCTTTCTCACAAGAAGACATTATATTCGGTGCGAGCCCTCGGCACCACACACACAGGCTCAGAATGGCGGCGCCGAGCGCTCAGGGGGTGTGATCAAGGAGAAAGCCTGTGCGATGAGAGCAGGAGCTAAGTTACCTACCTTCCTTTGGGTTGAGATTTACAGGGCTGCTGTTTATCTACACAATCGAACCCCAAAATACCTCTTGCACTGGCAATCCCCTTATGAAGTTTTTCATACTTACCTGGTCTGCAGAGACGGCATAGTGGTTAAAGACCGCAAGCCGAGCCAAGTCCATCTCCGTGCATACGGCTGCAAGGCGTTTGCCATGTCTGCGGAATCACTAGCAAAGAAGAACCGGCTTCAGAAGCTCAACCCGAAGGCATGGATCGGGTATCTCGTTGGATATCAATCCACGAATATCTACCGGGTATGGAACCCACTGACCAACAAGGTCGTTGCCGTTAGGGATGTGGTTTTCAACGAGGACGAATTCTTTACTGGCGATATCCAACATATGAAAGACGACCTGCGGCATGTTACGGAGGAAGAACTTACTGTGCTGCTGAGGGACTTCCAAGTCCTAGATTCAGCTGATCCCTCGTTAAGCGTACCTACGCAAGATGAGGATGAAGAACTCAGTGGTCCAATGACGCTCCCAGACAATGTGGTTGATGAACCGACCGGTGATGCACAGGATGCTCAAGCTGAAGTATGTACGGTAGAGCCTGATCACCTCTACACGACTGCGCGGTTCGAGCCGCTCCTGACTCCGGAGTACACACCACCACCTGCGGCAGCGCTCACGGGTGCTGCTATTAGAGAGCTTACGGAGCGCCAGGAAAGTGTTGCTTGCTGTCGCTCTGAGGTTAGCGCTACGAAATGCTGTAGCGGCTGCAAGGAAAGTGCGATTGGCCATCGCTGCCTTCAGCAGAACGACAGCCACTCTGAAGTCAACACCATGAGTAGTGCCTGCAAGGAAAGTGCGACCTGTCGCTCTTGTCGCTGCCTTCAGCAGAGTGATCACCACTCTGAGGTCAGCACTACGATAGGCCATGGTGACTGCAAGGAAAGTGCGACCTCTGGTTGCTGCCTTCAGCAGAGTGGCAGGCAATGCAGCTGCCGGCGAGTTAAGTCTGGTATTCCAGGCGGGTCATACCTCTCGCTAGCTCCGGCCGGACAAGATATCCGGGCCATCCGCAATCGCCAAGGCAATTGGGAGGCTGCGTTCAACGCTGGCCGACAAGCTGCAACGATTGGCATGATGAATGGCAAGCCTATGACCAAGGGTCATTTCTACAAGATGGTGAACAAGCCGAGGGGACGCCCCTCCACTTACCAATTTATCAAGCGTTTATCCAATGGGCAGCGCACCTTCGTGCCTCGCCAAGACGGAAAGATTCATCGGCGTGACCTGCCTCCGCCACCCAAGACTCACAAGGACCTCGAATCTCATCTGTTGAGGCTAGCGTTCCTAGAGGCAGAGAAACAACATCTACAGAGTCATCAAGATATGAGCACATGGGCCGAGACTGATAAGAAGGCAGCCACAGGGCACCAGCTACTAGATTGCATGTGGGTTTACGTGTACAAATTCGATAAACACGGCTGGCTTGTTAAATGCAAGGCTCGTCTTGTGGTCCGGGGTGACCAGCAGGCCAAGTCGGTATACGAGAACACATATGCATCCACATTAGCTGGAAGGTCATTCCGGACCCTAATGGCGATTGCCGCACGGTTTGATCTTGAGCTTATCCAATACGACGCTGTTAACGCCTTCGTCAACGCCAAGCTACCATACGATATATTCATGAGGATGCCACCGGGTTATCGGAAACGTGGCAGGATCCTGCATCTACTCAAAGCCATGTACGGTCTACGGGAATCACCCTTGCTGTGGCAGAAGGAACTCACAGGCACACTCGAGCGCCTGGGCTTCTCACCGGTACCGCACGAACCGTGTTGTTTCACGAAGAACGGGATCTTGATCTTCTTCTACGTGGATGATATCGTCGTGGCATACCGGAAGGAGAATCAGGCTGCTATAGATGATCTGATGGGTCAGCTGCAGGAGGTGTATAACCTGACCGGCGGGCATGAGCTGCAGTGGTTCCTTGGCATCGAGATCATCCGTGATCGCAAGCGGAGATTGATCTGGTTATCCCAATCCGACTACATTGACAAGCTGGCTAACCTCGTTGATGCGAAGGATGCAAATTTTCCGAAGACGCCGATGAAATTGAGGGAACTTCTTCCTTTCGATAGCCGAGCATCTCGTCGATCAATCAATCTCTACCAGCGCCGAATCGGGTCGATCCTATATTGTGCAGTAATTACTCGACCGGATGTCGCATTTACTGCCTCGCGACTAGCACGGTTTAACGCCAATCCTAGCGACGAGCACCTAAGCGCTGCTGAACATCTAATTCGATATCTACTTGGTACCAAGACCTGGGCCTTGCAGCTAGGAGGAGAAGACTCGATGGAGACCTGGAGCGATGCATCATACGCAGACAATACGATCGACCGGAAAAGTTCTCAAGCATACGTCATGAAGCTGTTTGGAGGAGTAATCGGTTGGCGAGCGAACAAGCAAGACACAGTGACTACCTCTACAACAGAGGCGGAGTTATTGTCCCTTGCGCAAGCCACCAAGGAGGCTATGTTCGTATCGCGGCTGATCAAGGAGATTGGTGTGGAGCTTGATTCATCACGATTGAACATCTGGTGCGATAACCAGCAGACGATTCGGCTCGTCAACGCAGATATCGCGATGCTGCAGACGAAGCTCCGTCACGTCGATATCCACAATCATTGGCTGAGACAAGCTGTTTCCCGAAAGACGATCAAGGTCGCATATACACCCACCGGCGACATGCTGGCTGATGGTTTGACGAAAGCACTGCCGACTGAGGCATTCAGGAAGTTCAGGTCACAGGTTGGGCTGGTCGATATCAAAGATCGGATTGAGGCAAGGAAGATCAAGGTCTTGACAGAAGATGATTTTGATGCTGCGGAGGATGCCCTCTCTGGCGGAGAATCAGATCTGATTTCCGGAAAGATGGATGACCTGTGTATCAATTGAGCTGGCAGTCAACGGCCTGGGCAGTTGCCTGAGGGGGTGTGTTGGAGAAGTGGCATGCATGATGATGTTACACAGGCAGCCACCTCAAGGGAAGATGTCACCCCATGATACCTTAATTGTCAGAACAGCGTTACAGATCTGTTGCAGGATCAGCAGGTCTAGTATCTCGGTCTTGCCCCCTCAGATACAAAGACAACGAGGGAGAACGAAGAACAAGGAGGACGAACACAAGGAACCTCATCAATACACTCAAGATCATCCCAATATCATCTTTAATCATCAGTTACCTAGTGAGGGCGCGCTGTCTAACAACACACACATATATCTTTATTATATCTCCTTACCTTCCTCTTCTTCTTTCCCTCTACCTTCCACCCCGCCTGCCT